TGTTGAGCCTGGAGAAAAGGAGGCTGAGGCGAGATCTTCTCACTCACAAGGAGTTGGAGACTCCCTGAAAGGAAGGTGTAGGGAGGTGGGGGTCAGTCTTTTCTCCCAAGTAACAAGTGATAAGACTTACCTCAAGTTGCACCAGGGGAAGTTTAGATTGGGTGTCAGGAAAAATTTCTTCACTGAAATGGTTGTCAAGCATTGGAACAGGTTGCCCAGGGAAGTGATGGAGTCCCCATCCCTGGGGGTGTTTATAAGTTGTGTATATGTGGTGCCTGGGGACATGGTTTAGTGGTGGACTTGACAGTGTTTGTTTTACGATTGGACTCAATGATCTTAAAGGTCTATGATTCAAAGGGTGGGGAGGTCACTGCTGGCATCTTCCTGCCTTGCTGGTGTTTGCACCTACCCCCCCCGCCACAGGTGCAGTCATGCTCCTCTAGCTCGCCCCACACCCGTGCACCCCTCATACTCCTTCTCTGTGTGTGTATTCCAAACCCCACACCCCTTCCTACAGGCAAGCTCTCCTGTGGCCCCGTGTCCTTACCTTCTGTCTTCCTCTGTAGGCATTTTGCCTGCCTTTCCTCCAAATACATGTGCCCGGGTGTGCCAGCAGTGATGAGTACCCTACTAGCCAACATCAACGCCTACTATGCCCACACCACAGCTTCTACCAATGTCTCAGCCTCTGACCGCTTTGCTGCTTCCAATTTCGGGGTAAGTCCGATGGTGCGTAAACACTCCTTCCTTCTTCTCTCTTTGCTTGGGAGGGGGTGGGGGGCTTGGGGAGCAAAAGGGCCTTGCAAAACACCCTGCTCCAAACTGCAGCTGGGCAGCAGGGGGGGGTCAGCCCCTGCTTGCCCCACAATTCATCCTGCTCCTGTTTTTCAGAAAGGAAAAGAACCACTGCCTTCCTAGGAGAAGGTCTAAATTTGCTCTCCAAATTATTATGGTAAAACCGTAACTGGAGTCTGAGTGTGCTGGGATGCTGAGTGGCTCCAGCATGGCAGGAGGGGGAAATCTTGGTGGAAAAATCACAAGCAGGAGGCAAGGAGCCATCTCTGCAACTTGCTGGTAGTTTTGCATGGCCCTGTGCACTTTGGGCACACCCTGGGACCGCTGCAAACTCACCTGGCTGTGCCAGCACCCATGGGTGCCCACTGGGTGCCTTGCTTGCAGTAAGCGGGGAAGTTCGTGCTGGAGCCGGGTGCGTCCTTGGGGATGTGGGTGAGGATGGGCTGAGCTCTCGCCCTGGCTTCCCACGTGTCACCCCAGAGTCAGCAGGTAGTTGCTCTGGATGCACATGAGTTGAGCCAGGATCAGTGCCCAGCCCTGGGTCAGGCAAAGTGCTGGGTAGCCAGGGAGGTAGCTCCGGGCAGCAGCTGCTTTTGCTCACCTCCCAGTTCCTGTTGCAGGGAGCAGCTACAGCTGAGTGAACTGTGCCTCTGGGTCATGCAGGAGGAGGAAACCGTACAAAAAAAGTGCCTTTTCTCTAACATGGAGGGTTTTAAAAACTTGTTTCTTTCTCTTTTTTTAGAGAGCCTAAGGTTGGGTTCTAAAGTGCCTGGCCGTGTCGCTTTAACCCCGAGTACCCGTCGTGTCCAGTTTTAAAGCACTGCGGCCATTCAGTGGCGGGGACACATGGTCTCAGCCCAGAGCCTGGCTTTGCTGTCTCCGGCGGGCGAGCGCGCCGAAGGTTTGCGGTTGCCAGTGCAGGCTGCGGGCTTGGCTGAGCTGTGGCCAGGCATGCGCAAGACTCACTGCCCCATCCTGTCCCCTTGTTCTCCCCCCTCACAGGACATGGCGAGCTGCTCTGGGCTCTCCAGAGCCCTGTGGAGCAGCCCTGACCTGGTCCAGCTGGTGCTGTGGGGGGGACCCAGGGCTCTTGTGGTCGGCCCATGGGGTTCTCCAAAGCCCCCCTTCTGGCAGAGTTGCAAAGTGAAATACCTCCTGACAGTGTTTTGGGGCAGATTGGTTGCTTTGCCCTCAGCTCTGATGTCTGATCCATAGCCCAGCCTGGGATTTGCATCCTCCTTCCCTGTGCTCCCTGGATAGGAGCTGAGCTGAATTAAAGCCTTAAGCCCCTGCTGACATCCCTCGATGTAGCCCAGTTGGACGAGTGAGGAGCCCGTGGAAACGTCCAGCTCCTGGGGACGATCCTGGCTTTGTCTCAAAGCAGCTTGGCCCTGGAGATGAGCGACCACTGCAAGAACCCAACAGTTCTTTCCTTGCCCCCTTTTTCCTGAGCTCTCTGAAAAAGCTTCAATCCAGGGGCCATGCGGCCCGGGGGCATGATCCTGCACACCCTCTCCCTGCTCCTGCCCTAGCCCAGGCTTGGAGATGTTCAGGTGGGCAGGGCAGACAGAGTAGCCCACCCCGCCTTGGGCATTGACTGCCAATGAGAGCAAAGGGGATGCATAGTGTTGCCTCTTGATCCTGTACTCTGCCCTGCACTGCCACACGTGCCCCAAGAGCCATTGACAGCTGTCAGTAAGCCCCAGCCACCAGTGAGGACATGCTCTTCACCATGGGCATCCCATGCCTGCCTGCAGGGCTCAGATGAAGGAAGGAGAGAATTAAAGACATCAGGAAGAAGAGGGATGAGCTGGGGGTGGCGCATACTGGGCTGGGAGCAGAGAGCCAGGGGCAGCAGGGAGGAGGGATGGTTCTTGCCACCTTTCCCCTGTTGACCTGGCTCTCGGGTGTTTCTCTGCAGAAGGAGCGGTTTGTCAAACTCCTCGACCAGCTGCACAACTCGCTGCGGATCGACCTCTCCATGTACAGGGTAAGATACCTGCTGTGCCTCAGTCTCCCCACCTGTCTGATAAGGTCTGAAACAACAGGCGGCTATTTTCTACCCCTCTACTCACTCTGCAAGAGTTTTGTGTACAACTCTGCTCTTTTCTTCCCTTTTGGTAGAACAACTTCCCTGCCAGCAGTCCTGAACGGCTTCAGGATCTCAAGTCCACGGTGGATTTGCTGACCAGCATCACTTTCTTTCGGATGAAGGTATTCCTGGGGTCTCACTTGCCCCGTCTCTCTAGTGGGGAGTCTGACCCTCAATGGGTCAGTTCTTTGCAAGGCTGAGGCTGTGCTGGCCCTGTGGTAGCTCCTGGATGGCTGGCCAGGGCTGTGAGTCTGCCTCCAGCACCTCTCACCCACTTCATACCCAGGTCCAGGAGCTGCAGAGCCCCCCACGAGCCAGCCAGGTGGTCAAGGACTGTGTGAAAGCCTGCCTCAACTCCACCTATGAGTACATCTTCAACAACTGTCATGAGCTGTACAGTCGCGAGTACCAGACAGACCCGGTGCGTGGGGTAGGGGTAACTGTGATGCACTGGCATGCCAGGCACTGTGGAGGGACCTTGCTGCCCCCACTGATGTTCCCCATCCCATGCCTTTCTCCTTTGTGCAACACTCCTGCTCCCTCTTCAGAGTGTTCAGCCCCATGCAGAATGACCCCAAGCCTTGGGCAGGGTTTGAGCCCCACTGCTGTGGGGTTGAGAGTGGAGCCAGGCAAGGAGGGACTCTGGAGGGGCCTCCAGGGTGTTTCCAGAGCCCTCCTGCCTCCTCGTTAGCCCCACCATGAAATCAAGCCCCACGGGTGGGGTGACCAGAGCCTCTGCTGTGTCCCCATCACTCCAGACTAAGAAAGGCGAGGTGCCCCCCGAGGAGCAGGGCCCCAGCATCAAAAACCTGGACTTCTGGTCCAAGCTCATCACCCTGATAGTCTCCATTATTGAGGAAGACAAGAATTCCTACACGCCCTGCCTGAACCAGTGAGTAGGTGCCGGGAAAGGGGATCCTGCTTTGCAGCTGGGTGTGGTGGCAATGGTAGCTTTAGTCCTTTGGAAGTGGGTTGTAACATCCATTCTACAGATGGGGAAACTGAGGCAGGATGTGGGGGGGGATGTATCTCCAAGTGGAGGGCTGGTCCACCCCGTGTCCATGCTTTCCCCCCGCCCCAGGTTCCCCCAGGAACTGAACGTGGGGAAGATCAGCGCTGAGGTGATGTGGAACCTCTTTGCTCAAGATATGAAGTATGCGATGGAGGGTGAGTCACCCAATACTGCCCTGAGCCAGGTGGGGGAACCAGGCAGGAGCTGCTCTCTGCTCCCACCTCACCCGTTCCCTGAGCAAACCCATTTCACACCCTCATCAACACAATGCCTAGCTTAAATCCCATGCAAGAAACATTTCCTTCTTCACCTCATTTCCCTGGCATCCCTCGAGCTGCCCTTGGGGTAGCTGCCCCCCCAGGTTTGGAGCTCAAAGAAACTCCTGCGCACACTTGCCTTCCCTGTGTAGAGCATGACAAGCACCGCCTGTGCAAGAGTGCGGACTACATGAACCTGCACTTCAAGGTGAAGTGGCTGTACAACGAGTATGTCACTGAGTTGCCCTCCTTCAAGAGCCGCGTGCCTGAGTACCCTGCGTGAGTGCAGCCCTTGGCGGGCAGGGGAGGGGTGCTTCCTCCCTGGGGGCTGGCTGGCCTCACCGGGGATGGGCATCTCTTCCAGCTGGTTTGAGCCCTTCGTTATCCAGTGGCTGGATGAGAATGAAGAGGTGTCCCGAGATTTCCTGCATGGAGCACTGGAGCGGGACAAGAAGGATGGGGTATGAGCAGAATTGTCGGTGGGCACAGGAGCTGCAGCGGGGGTGGGCAAGGGGCTTGTCCCTCGATGCTGGGTGTGTTCCCATTGGGGCAAAAATCTTCCCTCCCTG